CTGCTGAGCTTGGGAGTCTCCTGCTGCTCATGTTGCCTCCCTGGTCAACTCGATTGCTGCGTCAGAAAAGGAAGAAAAACTTTGATCTTGACATGCCCTTCTTCGCTGTCTCCCTTCACAACTTCTGCAGGAAAAAACCCGTGATCAAGTGCATCTATGGTTTTGTCAGTCCTTTCAGGGAAGAACTGATGCTTTTATCAGATGTCTTCCCAAAACCTTTAATGCCCAGCACCTGCACACATGCTTGAAAGTGCCCAAAGTGGGGTGGATTTAGGCCATTACTTACTGTGGCTTCTTGAACTGAGGGACCAGCGAGGACCTCTGGTAATGACCACAGACACAGCAGTCGATGTCTAAGCAGCAGCGGCTGCGCACTCACAACTCCTCTGTAGCCACATCTACGACAGCTTTGGGGGAAGACAGTCCATGGCCATAACTGTTTTGCTCTTCACCCTCCGTGGGTTTTAACAATATTTATCACTTGGATCTTACTTCTCTGCCTGCTTATCTCTGTGGGGTGTGTTTTCCTCATCAGTTGTGAGCACATTTTCACTGGCCAGGTGGACCTCTAGTTTAAGTAAATGCCATTTTAGTTTTGTGTAATCTTACTCTGTTGCCAGTTCCCCATACCTGAATAATTTAATTCAGGAGTTAAATTATTATGTGGCTTAAAAACCTTGCCTGTAACTTAAAATGAGGAGGAACCATATTCACATCAGATAACTCAGTGTTAATGCATAATGTCAAAATATCAAATGGAAAAATGCTGTTGTGATTGCCTCACATGGCGCTGTAGGCTCTGGGGGCCATGGAGCGTGTCCTTTGGGTTTTGCAGCTTACAAGGAAGAGTTTGGTGCTTCTGCAGGAGCTCCATTAAAGGCTCTCCAGTGCCTTATCCGACTTTTCACTCCTGCAGTGCGAGTGTGGCTTTCATGTCGCCCACTCCTTCAGCGAGAGGGCTGTTACCATTAAACCTCAAGGAGAGCCAGCAGGACTCTGCTTCTGTGGAGGAAGCAGGTAGGTCAGCTCTTCCAGGGTGCTTTGGGTGTGTTAGTCAGCGGCAGAAGAAAATTGGGTTTGATACAATTGGCATCGTTCTAGGACAGGCACCAAATTGGCCTTTTTTTACAATAAGCTGAAGTCAATAGGCAAAAAAAATTACGGAAGCAGAGCTTTCAAAACTGTACTTCCTACATGGTCCTTCATCCATCAGCCGTACCAAACGGTACTGTAATTTATGAGAATAGGGCAATACCCTTTTACTGTTACATTGATATTTAATACGTGTTCTGTGTGCTACCAGGCAGGCCAGAGCACGTGCAGACCTGACCCTTGGGTGTTGGTGTATACTAACAATGTAGCTGACCAAACTTTTATGCCATTTCTTGATATTTCTTCCATGTTAAAAAGAGTGGGAGACAAGTACCGCTTCAAAATACACAAGTATCATCTTTTAAATTAATTTAATGTAGTACAATCTCATTTGCAATTGCAAATACTAAGGCTGCATTTTTCCCCTTACTCCGAATGCCTGAAAATCTCATCAATATTAATATATAGGGAAGAATTCCTTGGCTTATTGATGTAGGAATGAAGTCAGGAGCAAAGCACAGCTCTACAAAGATTCATCTGCAGATGGGGGTCTGAAGCAACCATTAGATTATCAAATCTGACCTACTATCTAATACAGGCTATCGAATCTCATCCACTTAATTCTGTGTTTATCCCAAGAACTGGACCAGAAAAGCAAGTACAGTGCATTAACATATTGTAATGTAGCAGTGTATTCAGGCATTTCTTTTTTTTTTTACTCTAAAAGCAGAGGCAAACAGAAGTACTGTGCTATATGGTACTGACGAAAATCTGCAGGAGGAGAGATTTCAGCATTTTACCTCTCTGCAGAGAAGAATTTGTATGTCTGTGTGTTTGCATAGGGTTTTGTTTAGTTTTTTGAAAATCATTCACTGGCAACTCTTAACCAGTGTAGAGATGACCATTAGTTCAGTTTCTGTCTGAGGATGGCATGAATTGAAATACGGATTTTATTTTATTTTTTAACACAAAAAGTAATTTTCTTTAAAAATCTCTGTGGTCCTTGACAACCGCTTTCTAACATCTTATTTTGGAAACTCCCTGCCAACTGGTTTTCCTAGGAAACATGAAGCACATTTCACATCTAGCTTCTCATGTCCTGAACTATAACACAAAACTGCCCTTGAGATGCACCTGGGAGGTATTCAGGGGGATACCACACATGCACAAAAGATGAGCCAGGATGTCTAAAGGAGCTGTACTGGGCTATTGCATGTTTTAACCATTAGCCAACATTTTGCTGAACAAAGGGGCAAAGAGGTGAGATGAGGAATGTATCAAGGAATTCAGAGGAGAAGTGATAGGTGGTGCTGTACAAAATACAGAGGTCCCAGGCTTGGCACATAACTGCTGTCCTGAAGAAAAAAGTCCTCCTGCCCAAGTTTGAGGTGCACCAGCCCCTTGGTGTTGCCCATCCTATGAGAACGTTTCTCCGCAACTCACCAGCAGCTCAGAGGGAGAGTCTCTGCTGCTCACGTGTTGCAAAAGCCTTTGCTGCTCCTTGGGTGGATGAAACCTGGGTTCTTAAGGTTTGTCCATAACAATACAGTTTCTGTCTCCTTTCCTTCTAAAGCTCAGAAGTCCTACAATTGGATCCATCTTGTTTGGTTTGAGTTTTGCCTCTAAAGTGCATTCAGAATCTGTTCGTTAAGGATTTTTTAACGTGAATCATGGCTAACTACTGGTATTGAAAGCAGAGCTTTGATCCATGACTGCGGGAAGTTCAGTATGAACCCTCAAGCTGGTGCAAAACTACTTGCCAAAGGGTGTTATACTGGCAAGGGGGAGACCCCTATAACCGAAGACACTGAAGGAACAGCAGATGTATACAGTCTACAGCACCCGTGCGAAGTGCCGGGTGCTGCACTTGGGTCACAACAACCCCATGCAACGCTAGAACCTTGGGGAGGAGTGACTGGAGAGCTGCCTGGTGGAAAAGGGCCTGGAGGAGCTGGTTGACAGCTGGCTGAATACGAGCCAGTAGTGTGCCCAGGTGGCCAAGTTGGCCAACAGCATCCTGGCCTGTATCAGAAGTAGTGTGGCCAGCAGGAGTAGGGAAGTGATTGTGCCCCTGTACTCGGCACTGGTGAGGCCGCACCTCAAATACTGTGTTCAGTTTTGGGCCCCTCACTACAAGAAGGATGTTGAGGTGCTGGAGCTGGTGAGGGGTCTGGAGCACAAGTCTTATGAGGAGTGGCTGAGGGAACTGGGGTGGTTCAGTCTGGAGAAGAGGAGGCTCAGGGGAGACCTTATCGCTCTCTACAGCTACCTGAAAGGGGATTCTGGTGACATGAATGTTGGTCTCTTCTCCCAAGTAACTAGTGATAGGACAAGAGGAAATGGCCTCAAGTTGTGCCAGGGGAGGTTTAGACTGGGTATTAGGAAAAATTTCTTCACTGAGAGAGTGGTCAAGCGTTGGAACAGGCTGCCCAGGGAGGTGGTGGAGTCACCATCACTGAAAGTATTCAAAAAACATGTGCATGTGGTGCTTCGGGACATGGTTTAGGGGGCATGGTGGTGTTGGGTTAATGGTTGGACTTGCTGATCTTGAAGGTTCTTTCCAACCTTAATAATTCTGTGATTCTGTGGTACATTGCCTCAACTGCTTTATTGCAGTGTCCTATGATTAGTGTCAACCTAACTAGAAGGTATCAGATAAACATTTTTGAAAGACTCAGTGTTCAAGAAGGAATCTTAGGCCTCCTTGCCTATCAAATAGGAAGGTCAATACTTGCTTTAATACTTGGCTTTGAGGCTAAACTAATTATTGAGCGTAAGGGTCTTTGAAATCCACAGGTAAGTGGTGTTAAGTAAATGTAAATAACATTACCAAAATGTTCACCCTGTTGCTTTAACGCAATTAATTCAGAATATGTAAAAAGGCATTTGTAGCAGTGAGGGTAGGGCTGCACAGCAAAACACTGTGCAATGCAGAGACACCTCAGATGGCTCCGAGTAACCAAACACAGGAGCCCTGCATCATCATGGTCCTTTGTGAGGGGTAATACTCCTTGTTTCCCAGAGGAGCTCATTACTTGCCTTAGCAGAAGCTCTTGCTGTTGTTGCTCGACACAATCTAGGCAGGAGGTGGCTGTTGGCGAGACTGTGGCCATCTATGTGCAGCTGCCCTGTGGGCCTCCCCAAGACAGATTACAGCCTCTCCAAAGCATCCGGTAGCAGTGATAGTAGAAAGTTAGGGTGCTATTAACAAAATTAACAAAAGTTAGGGTGCTCTTAACATAATAATAACAACAAATAACTAATTAACAAAGGCTGTGGGTGAACATAGTGCTGTGTGTGTTAGAAGGCCACACA